CACTTCCCAACAGCATTTCCCAACACTTTTTAAAAGCTATTTACAAAAAGTGTTATTCTACTATTACTTTTAAATATACCAAGCACTTCCAAATATCTAGAAAGACTAGATATTTTATGTAACTTGTCCACATGTACACAGCACTGTTAACTAAAATTGCACACACATAACAATGGTTATCATCTGAGGTATCTTTTTTTTTTTTTTTTTCATTTCTTTTCTGTGAGGTCTATCTTCTAAATGTGACCATTTTGGCCTTGAATCATTCCCTCCCCTCTTTCTTCTCTGCCTTCAATCCAGTGGACAAATAACAGGCACGTGTAATGCTTAAGAGATGATGAACAAATTCCAGTGCAAAAGTCGTTTACAGAAGACAAGTTTTCCTATGAATTTTATCACAAAGAATACAAAATATGCTGATTTTACTTCTAAATAGTTTGTCAAACACTGCCAACCTCATTTAACATCTAGAGACTAAATGTTGAAAAATTAGGACTCAGCGGGCGCAGTGGCTCAAGCCTGTAATCCCAGCACTTTGGGAGGCCGAGGCAGGTGGATCACAAGGTCAAGAGATCGAGACCATCCTGGTCAACATGGTGAAACCCCGTCTCTACTAAAAATACAAAACATTAGCTGGGCGTGGTGGCGCGTGCCTGTAATCCCAGCTACTCAGGAGGCTGAGGCAGGAGAATTGCCTGAACCCAGGAGGTGGAGGTGGCGGTGAGCCGAGATCGCACCATTGCACTCCAGCCTGGGCAACAAGAGTGAAACTCCATCTCAAAAAAAAAAAAAAAAAGAAAGAAAAATTAGGACTCATTGTCCATTATATACACTATTTAGAGAGCAAAAGAAAATGCACAAAATCTACACAAAAATAGTGTCTGAAATGTTGAAGTGTGAACACAGTAGAATATTACCTTTTTCAATTTCTTCCCTCCCACCTCCTTTAAATCATTGAACAAGTATAGACAGTACTATACTGCTCACAAAGGTGGCTTCACAATTCAATTTCCAAAAGTATTTCCTATGAATTTTAGCAAAAAGATATTTACAAAGTGGTATTTTACTACCTCTATATTTAACATACATCAGGCACTTCTAAACACCTAGATAAACTAGATGTTTCAAGAAAGGAGTTAATTTGTCCACTATATACACAGAAGTCTTGAATAAACTGCAAACATGTAACAACAGTTATAATTTGAAAGAGTCTTCCAAATGTGAACATTCCGGCCTATAACCCTTCCCATCTCCCTCAACTCAGTGGGCAAGAATGCTCAAATTTTCAGAAGACAGTCTTTCCTAGACTTGTAAAACAAAATGTACAAAACATTAGGTTACTAACTCTACTTCTGTCATACACTGGCAACCGCTTTCACATCTAGAAAGACTAGATGTTGTTAACGTTAGGACTTGTTTGTCCTTTATGTACACTATATGCACAGGGAGGTAAAACAAAATGCACAGAGATGGTAATTCATCTTTCCTGGCTGTAAGCGGGGTGTCATAGAACTGTCTGCACCTCCCTCTTCTCCCTCCTCCCCTGAACCGCTGCACACACAGTGAGTATTACTCAACAGGTGATTTGGCCATTCCCCCCAAAAAACATTTCCTACAAATTGTAACAAACATATATTTACAAAATGTGATTTTACTACCTTTAATTTTAACATCAGTTACTTCAGAACACCTAAAAAGAACAGACGTTTCAAAAAGTTTAGCATTGGCCACTATATACACAGTAGTGAGGAATAAAATGTGCACAAAACAATGGCTAGAATATGAAAATGTCTTCTAAATATGACCAGTCTAGCATAGAACCTTCTCCTCCTTCTCCGGTCTTCCAGCTCCATGTCATCTAACTCACTGAACAAACGTGGACCTATAGCTTCCAGGCGCCATCTAACAACTCCATTTCCAAAAGTCATTTACAGAAGACATGTATTTTCTATTATTTCTTTTAAACAAATGAGAATTTACAAGATGTGTGGTTTCCTAACTCTACTTTATCACACGTCGGCAACCTCTTTACATCTAGAAGGGCTAGATGTGACAAATGTTTTTCATTAAAAGGTTGGGGTGGAATTGAGAGCAGCTTTTTCATATTATATACACAGGCCTTCCATAAACGGCCAGTAAATCTTCCCAGAGGCTGGCGGGCATTTCCAACGGGCCTAACGTGGCCTGTCATTCTACCATTTCTCTCTTCCGACAGCAAGATCTGGTAGAATGAAGACTAACCCCCTGATGGCCGCTAACCGTTCCGCCCGTTGTCATTCGGAACTTCGCTCACCTTCCAGGCCCGTTAAGGCCTTTGTCCGCTGTCTCGCCCAATGGGGACAGAGTGGTCACTGAGGACCCGGATCTGCACGGCTGGGTGGCCTACAGAGACGGCCGAGCCTGCAAGCGTTCTTAGGCCGCCTTCCCAGGCCCTCCATGACCTAATGGCCTCCACTGCGCAGCATTCGAGCGGCCGCCATGTTTCCTGGCCCGCCACTCCCGCCGCGACCCAAAGGCCTTGCCTCCGGGCGGCTCAGCTGGGGCTTCATCGAGGCCTGGCACACTTGGGCCGGGAGACCCAGTGGTCATCGGGGTCCAGGCTGGGGTACCGGCTGGGAGAAGCCGCCGCCGCCGCCATCAGTCACCGAAGTGCGGTCGGGTAGAGAGGTTCGCCACGGCTTCAAGGCCTGGGCCTGGCCAGTGGGCAGCCACAGCGGAGGCCTCCGGTGTCTGAAGGGCAGAGGGCACGGCCTGTCCCGGGGACACCCCAGCTCACCCGCCGGCCGCGGCCGGAGGTCTTGGAGGGCCCAGGGGGAGCTCGCGGCGCTCTGCGTCTCTCCGCCTGCGCCTGCGCCTCCCCGCGCTCCGCGTCTCCCCGCGCTCCCTGCGGGACCGGAACTCTGAACTCTCTTTTAAAGCATATTTCTCAGAATGAGTGTTCTAAGGAGCGCTGAACCAGAAAGCTTAGAACTTCTATCATACTCCTTCTTCCACCCACTTCATTATTGAAGAAATAGTTCAGAGTTGATGGGAGGAAAAGAAGAATTCTGAATTTCAGACACATAAAAGCAAAAATTGGAAAAGAAATAACAGAATGGGACTTTGGAAGTGATTCTCCTTTGTGGATGTATTTAACTGTAAGGACATTTTGAGAGCACTAGGTTCATAGACAAATACCACAATTCATACCGGAGAGAATTGAGGGTAGAGCCATGCTGAATTCTAAGGGGGCAGTCTTGTCTGAGAAATGTTGCTGTATGAGTGGGTTTACCCCTGCTTAAGTAAAACATCCAATTAATTAATTAATTATTATTATTATTATTATTGTTATTATTTTGACAGAGTTTCGCTCTTGTTACCCAGGCTAGAGTGCAATGGTGCGATCTCGGCTCACCACAACCTCCGCCTCCTGGGTTCAAACAATTCTCCTGCCTCAGCCTCCCGAGTAGCTGGGACTGCAGGCACGCACCACCATGCCCAGCTAATTTTTGTATTTTTAGTAGAGTCGGGGTTTCACCTTGTTGACCAGGATGGTCTCGATCTCTTGACCTCGTGTTCCACCCGCCTCAGCCTCCCAAAGTGCTGGGATTATTACAGGCGTGAGCCACCGTGCCTGGCCCCAAAAATCCAATTAATTTACTTAAACACCGCATTGTTGGACTACAGGGAATTAATTTAATATTACTCAATATCATTTCATTGTTTTCCTTCCAAAAAAGACAGTTCTATATAACACATTTTTTAAATGATGCAAATAAGGATAAATGAGAAAATAAGGTAACACAAGAGGCATTGTTGAAGACGATGAGCATGTTCTTATTAGAACAAAGCTTGGGTTGACACAGGAAACTTCCATAAGAAATTCCGTTTTTGCCCCATGACTTTCCCAACTCACCTAAAGTCTGGCCAATCTCCAAGTGGAGTCTGTGCAGAATTTGAATTCAGCCACAGGTTAAGAATGAAAACATGGCCTCTTCCATTAAACCAACAAGTGTGAATGAATACCAAACTGCAATTTGCCATATGCAGAAATTGAGAGAAGCAGGAAGTAAAAAAGAAACCTGAAATGGGTGATGTCTCCTAACAAACACCTTATTCACTGCCGACTCTGCAAACTTGCTTTGTGCCAAAACCCACCCATGAGACTCCACAATACTCCTGACCCTGGTAGCTGTCATTTTTGGAATATGCTAAGCATCTAGGAAAGTCTGGGAAATACAAGAATTCAAAAGCACCTTCTTTCTGTGAAGGAGCCTAAAGGATATTCTAGGGCAACTTTCTAATTTTTCAGTTGAAATTTTCTTCATGCTTCTGTTTGGTGAGCTGCACAGTGCCAGCTCCCAAAGACCCTTGAGAGGGAAATGGAACCTGAGATTGTCAAAGCTAGAGTGGACATGAATAATCATACCCTCTAGCTCAACCCCCTCTGTTTACAGATCTGAAGTCAGGGAGCCTGAAACCCACTCAGCATCCTGAGAGTAAATGTGCTTTCCTCCCTTCTTCTATTTCTGTGCGATTTTCCCATGGCATCTGGCCAGAGCATCTACACTAGTAATGTCTAGAGGATTTATGAGGCCAAGTGATCCTTCGGGTTTCTACGCAGACCTAAACAGGAAACCCACACAAGGAAATGCCCTTTCTGTTTGCAGGCCAAATTCCCAGGATGCCTTCACCAGAGTGCCCTGGCTGGAACAAGACAAAGGCCTGGCACAATAAATGCCCTTAGATCTGAAGGCAGAGGTGCCCTCCCCACCTCTCCCTTTCCCCTCCCTAATCCAAAGGCCCTCCATTAGTTTAATGAAAACAAGACTTCCTTCTGTCAGAACTCAACTTCGCTTACTCCACTGGTTGAGATGCTGGAGCGGGGGCTCCCCTTGGATCTCCAGGTAGGTTTCAGGAAATTACTTCTCCTTACTTGTGCAAAGTCAACCTGGGCAAGTCCTCCAGGTTAATTAACCAGGCACCCTACTCACACCCCTCTTATTTTTCTCCATGTTTAGCCCCTAGAAGATGCCTTAGAGACGAAAAAAAAAAAAAAAAAAATGAATGCATTTCCCAATCAGGAGGCAGCCAGATGCAGCCAGAGTCCCTCTGAGCCCCAACTCACACTGTGACAATTATTCAACAAAACACAACTCTCTTGCCTTTGCTGAACCTCAACACCCTGCATCCTGCCAAATCTCCTCTTCCCGTTTAACCAGTCCATCTATGCTGGTGTCCAGCCATTCCAGTCCACCATGACATTTAAAAATCTTCCCAGCTCTGTGTGGAAGATCGGAGACTTAAGAAAGAAAGAGACTGTTGCTCAGGGCTGGACAGGAAGGAAGTCTGCATTCCTGGCTTCCAGAACAGAATAGCAATGTGGGTGACCCTTTCCCCCTCCTCAAGGCATCCCCTTAGGCCAACACAAAAATAGATTCTATCCTCTTGGTTTGTCTCCACCACCCTCTGGAAAGAAGACACAGGCTTCTAGTGAGTCAACAGTATTATCGGGGCTTGACTGTGTTTCAGGAATGACCAGATGTTGGGAAGAGGATAATGTGTCATTTCCTTTAACAAATAGTCCCGGCATCTGTGCATTTCCTTTTAAGCCAGCTCTTCAGGAGACTGCGCTGCAGTGACAGAGAAGGACACATCAGCCTGGCTTCTACTCTCACAGGTACTGGGGGCCTTCTCGAAGCCTTTGGATTCCAGCCCTCCGTTAGGAAAACATTTCTGTCCTTTGTATGCATGAGTGACACCATGAGAAGACAGCATAGGGAGTGGTTACAAGCAAAGAATTTGGAAACAAAATAAATGCTCTAAGGGAAAAAGACAAGTAGCCAAGGAACACTGGGAGAGGCTTGGAGGAAGCTAATTGTTCATCCATTCCCCTAGATCCGCGGTTCTCAGTAGTGAATCAACATGAACAGCATTCGCCTGGGAACTTGTCCACCACCCCGCCCCTACGGAAACTCCAGGGGTGAAGCCCAGCAATCTCCTTTGACAAGCCTTCCAGGAGATTCTGGTGTGAGCTCAAGATTGAGAACCACTGGTCCAGATAGTTCTTATCTGGTCCTAGGGCTTCCCAGAAAGCATTAAAAAAAAAAAGCAGATTCTCCTCCACAGGAGACCTACACACTGCCTCTCGTGCTGCCACCACGTCTCTAGTGACCCCTGAAAAGTTCCAGCATATTTTGCGAGTACTCAGCACCAACATCGGCTGTGGGTTGAAGATATGCTAATGTGGTGTTGAGGAAAGCAGACTTTGACCTCACCAAGAGGGCGGGAGAACTCACTAGGATAAGGTGAAACATGTGATCATCACTATGCAGAATCCGTGCCAGTACAAGGTCCCAGACTGGTTCTTGAACAGACAGAAGATATGTAAAGGATGGAAAAGATCATCTCTAGATGGTGGAATGTCAATAACCTTTGCTTCATCCTTTTGATGTTTTGGTTTTTCTGCAACGTTTTCGTAATAAATAGGTATTTTTAATAGCAAAAAAACGGTAATAAAATGAAAAGCTTGTTGGGTCAAAATAGTCATTTAAAGAAATCTGTATAGCCCTCTCCAGAGACCACCTCTCCAAGAATTTATGTCACACCGATAATTAGCACCACCTGTTACACTTGTGCTAAAACGGGCATGAAGAACGTTGGATTCAGAATGTATAAAGAGGTTTTTTTAACTCATCAGCTCCAGTTGAAACCAGCACATCAGGGAGAGCTGCAGAAAAATGTGAGCCAGAGCCCACCCTGAGGCCCCAGGGCCTTTGTGTGCCTCCAGCATGTGAATCTGGGTTGCTGGGTGTCCTCAGCAGCCTGCAGGGACCCATTGTCCTTCTGCACAGCTTTGTTCAGGAGCCCCAGCATCCTCTCAGTTTTTACACCCTGATTTCCTACCAGGGAGAGGCCCCAAGCAAAAACAAAACAAAATAATAACACTGAAAGGGCTCTCAAAGCCTAGAAAGGAAGAAAGGACAATGGAACGTGATGTAAGGCTCGCTAAACAGCCAGTGACTCAGCGCTTCTGCACCGTCAACACCAGCTGCAGCCTGTGGCCATGGCAGCTCACAGAACAGACACAGGCGCGAACACGGGTGCGCGCATGTGCACACACACACACACACACACACACACACACACACGGTGCAAACATTACACTGCCTGGAGAATGACAAAAGAATTCTGACTCTTAGACTGTGCTGCAGCCAAGAAGACACAGAATCAAAGATTTCTGGAGCTTCAAGGAACCTGGCAGAATATATAAGTATGTTGCACCTTAATTCAGTTTTCTATTAACATCTTTTATCAAGATCCCTAAGGAGGGCTGGGCATGATGGCTCATGCCTGTGATCCCAGCACTTTGGGAAGCCAAGTTGGGAGGATCATTTGATGCCAGGAGTTTGAGATGAACCTAGGCAACATAGTGAGACCCCATCTCTACAAAAAACTCACAATTAAAAATTTAAAAAAAGAATCCCTAAGGAGCTGGACTTGTCATTGGGGTCAGATTCTCCAAACTGGACCCACTGTCTGCCCACCAGCATGGCTATAACTCATTCTAATTCCTTCTGAAACATCACAGGATGAAATGTGGTTAGTGTCGTAGATTCTAGTGTGGGCTTCTCGAGGAGACTCTGGGAGAAAATTCTCATTCTTCACTAGTCATATGACCAGCTGGGAGAAAATTCTTCACAAATCACAAATGAGAGTGGGGGCCAGGCATGGTGGCTCATGCCTGTAATCCCAGCACTTTGGGAGGCTGAGATAAGTGGATCACTTGAGTCCAGGAGTTCAAGACCAGCCTGGGCAACATGGCAAACCCTGTCCCTACAAAAAGTACAAAAATAAGCTGAGCGTGGTGGTGCAAGCCTGTAGTCCCAGCTACTCAGTAGGCTGAGGCAGGAGGATAACCTGAACGTGGGGAGGTCAAGGCTGCAGTGAGCAGTGATCGTGCCACTGCACTCCAGCCTGGGCAACAGAGTGAGACCCTGTTTCAAAACCAAACCAAACCACAATAATGACAACAAAAAAACAAATGAGAGTAGGAATCTGTCCCATAAATTTTCAACATGGGTAATACTTCTGTCTGCAAATGTATTATCTTATTAAAAGATATATTTTTAAATTCAGCCTTTACCTCAATCCAAAGTCTGTTGAAGCAACCCCTCCCACAGAATGAGTTGGGCTCCCCCCGCTCCTCCCAGATGGCTCTGCTCCCACTGGGCCCACAGTAAGGAACCCTGCAAATTAAGTTAGTCTTAGGAGGCCTGACGCTCACCATTAACCACCAAATCTATTTGTTGGACCAGCACTGCTCATGGGATGGACCAAAAAACAACTTTCTTTTTGTTACCTGCTGCTCCTTCAAAATTTATTCCGTGTGGAAATCTTTTTCCTGCCATTAGATAAAAATTATGAGGACTTAAAGATTTTTTCTGCTCACTCTAAGATATTAGATCATTCTATGGGCATTTTAAATTACAAAATACAGACTCATTTGAGGAATTAAGTGTCTGAGCTTAGCCTGGGGAGCACACCTATAATCTCAGCAACTTGGGAGGCTGAGGAGAGAGGATCACTAGAGGCCAGGAGTTCAAGACCAGCCTGGGTAACAAAATGAGACCCCTTCTCTTAAAAAAAAAAAAAAAAATTTAAAAACAGCTGGGCGTGGTGGTACATGCCTGTAGTCCCAGCTGAGGTGGGAGGATTGCTTGAGCCCAGGAATTTGAGGTTGCAGTAAGCCATGATCATGCCAATGCCAATGTACTCCAGCCTGGGTAACAGAATAAGAGACCAATGAAAGAAAGAAAGAAAGAAAGGAAAGAGAGAAAGAAAGGAAAGAAAGAGAAAAAGAGAGAGAGCTGGAGGGAGAAAGGGACGGAGGGAGAGAAAGAAAAAGAAAGGAAAGAGAGAGAGAAAGAAAAAGAAAGGAAGTAAGGCTAGATTAGGGGCTAGGTGTAGTAGCTGACACTTCTAATCCCAGCACTTTGGGAGGCTGAAGTGGGAGGATCACTTGAGACCAGGAGGTCGAGTCTGCAGTGACCCATGATTGCACTACTGCATGTCAGTCAGGATGACAGAGCAAGACAGGGTCTGTCTCAAAAATAAATAAATAAATAAATAAATTTGACATCTGGGCCAAGAATCCAGAATATTAACACTTTAATATGCATTTAAAGAAGAGGCTTTCCGGCACTTCCCATGCCCATCCTATAGGAAGGAGCAGAGCTAAGGAGACACAGTTCTTACTAGGCTCTCCCTGTTATAATTATCCAGTCCATCTCAGCTCCCAAGGCTTGGATTGAATTTAGAATGTCTCCCAGCCTGCTCTCTCTGCCATGAGGCCTCCATATGTTGGTCCTAGCTCTTGTGAAGTGTAATTCTTTCCTAAATGCAGCCCTGTTTTCTCCTTCTCCACCTACCTCCTCTGTCAAGGCTACTTTTACAGGAGTTCCCCAAATGCAGATCCCAGAGTATTTACACCATGGAAATAAGCAACTGCTGCAAGTTAGAGATTTTTCCTCTCTTACCCAGCCAACTCTGGTTACTGACATTTAACAGCATAGCACTCATGGAGTTATAAATGCAGTAAATCATACTGCTATATATTTCTACATCCAGATCCTTCATATGACATGGCTGGATGATAAGTGTCTCAGAGCCATGATAAAAAGAGGGTGGATGGCCGGGCGCGGTGGCTCAAGCCTGTAATCCCAGCACTTTGGGAGGCCAAGGCGGGTGGACCACAAGGTCAAGAGATCGAGACCATCCTGGTCAACATGGTGAAACCCCGTCTCTACTAAAAATACAAAAAATTAGCTGGGCATGGTGGTGCATGCCTGTAATCCCAGCTACTCAGGAGGCTGAGGCAGGAGAATTGCCTGAACCCAGGAGGCGGAGGTTGCGGTGAGCCGAGATTGCGCCATTGCACTCCAGCCTGGGCAACAAGAGCGAAACTCCGTCTCAGAAAAAAAAAAAAAAGAGGGTGGATGGATGGAGGCTTCATTTCACCTAGGAATTTCCCCAGGAGTAGTCAGCAAAAGTATGCTGAAGAAAAAGACAACAGACTTCACAGGGCCTGGAGGAAGCAGCTGTTTTCTAGGAAAAGTAATAATTTTCTTTTTTCTTTTTAAAAATATATTTTTGGTAGAGATGGGGTTTCACCATATTGGCCAGACTGGTCTCGAACTCCTGACCTCAGGTGATCTACCTGCTTCGGACTCCTGAACTGCTGGGATTATAGGCATGAGACACTGCACCCGGCCTCAGGAAAGGTAATTTCTCTTTCTTTTTGTCTTTTCTTTTCTTTTTTCTTTCTTTCCTTCCTTCCTTCTTTCCTTCTTTCTTTCTTTCCCTCCCTCCTTGCCTCTCTCCTTCCCTCCTTTCTTTCTTTTCTTTCTTTTCTTTCCTTCCTTCCTTCCTTTCTTTCTTTCCTTTCTTCTTCTTTCTTTTTGTCTTTTTTCCTCTTTCTTTCTTCGGAGTTTTGCTCCTCTTGTTGCCCAGGCTGGAGTGCAATTGTGCAGTCCTGGCTCACTGCAACCTCCACCTCCCAGGTTCCAACAATTTTCCTGATTTGGCCTCCCAACTAGCCGGGATTATAAGCACCTGCCACCACAGCCGACTAATTTTTGTAATTTTAGTAGTTTCACTATGTTGGCCAGGCTAGTCGTGAACTCCTGACCTCAGGTGATCCACCCACCTTGACTTCCCAAAGTGCTGGGATTACAGGTGTGAGCCACCGTGCTTGGCCAGGAAAAGTAATTTTCTAACAGGTGAGAGAGATAAGTGGGTCTGTGTTCCTCAGAATAGGGACACAGGTTGGGTGGCTAGAGAGTGGCCCACGGTGGCAAAGCTGCCCTCAATAGGCAGTCTACGTTCTTTGCTTATCTGGCCTGGCAACTCTCCCTGTAGTAGTGGGGATGTACCCAGACTAGGAGGATTGATGAGAGCCCCAGACTTGGCCAGTTACGGACTATGACAGTTGTGATGGTCCCTGGAGAGGGTAGGGGAAGAGAGAGAAGCCTGTTAGTTAATAGTGAAATACCCTGTGGTAATGGGCCAGTGGATGAGGGATTGGCATTGCCAAGCTCCTAAAGGAGCATTAACTGTGCTGGGGGCAAGGATGCAGGGCCCCACGGAGGTGGAATGAATTGCTCTAGCAAGTCTAGGACCCGTGGAGCCTCACTGATAATCTATCACCTTAATTCCTAAAAT